ATAAACTAGAGTGTAGCACGTTAAAATTTTAATTTTTAATTATAAAAATACGTATGCCTATTCAGTATAGGTGATTTAAAAGTAAGTTTGCAATTATATAAATAGAAATAAAGATTAATTCATGTATATTTCTGTTTTTCACATCGGAAATAGAGGAAATTTACCCGTTCTTTCTTTTTTTTTCTTTTTTTTATATATTAGCAAAAGGAATGGACGGAATATTATGTTGAGACATCTAAACACCTGTGCCTATAACCATTCCCAAAATTTACTATTTTTGTTTGTAGTAATTGATTTAAAACTTGCAGTCCTCGAACAAACTATAGCAAAGAAACAAAGAAAGCTAAAAGAACTTTCATAAAAAAATAAATAAATAAATAAAATTTGGAGGCTAAATATGAATAAATAATTACTTAATTATGCTAACCCGTGCATCGCAAGGGCGATGCACTAGTTAAGTGGGAGGGGGAAGTTCTGGTTGCGGAAGACAAAATTTTTAAACTTTGCTGCTCTATGTGGGGGCATGGAAGGGCTGGTTCCATTTTTTCTCTGGAAAATTACAAAAAATCCTCAAGACTACATTTTTTATGCAACTTACTCCCAACCTAACTTATTTTCTTACTTTTTTTCTCACTTTCTATGCAAATAGCCCCCAACCAAATAAAAAATAAAAAAATACCTAAACTACCCTCCCTTACTTTTTACCTTACCCACGCCTCTCTCTCCTCTGTGTAAGTGTGCTCCGGCACTGCAACACTCTAGAGTCACAAAGCTCCGGCAGTGGATCATGAATTCCGGCAGTGGAATATGGAATCACAGCGCTCTAGTGCTATGTATGTGCGCTCCGACAGTGGAATTTGGAGTGACAGCGCTCTGGTACTGTGTATATGCACTCCGGCAGTAGATGTGCGCTCCGGCGCTACGTAAGTGCGCTCCGACAATGCAACAATCTGGAGTCACAGCGCTCTGGCAGTGTCTATGTGCACTCCAGCAGTGGATCATTCGCTTCGGCATTGTGTAAGTGCTCTCTGGCACTGTGTATGTGAGCTCCAGCAATAGATGATACGCTCTGGCACTGTGTAAGTGCGCACTGGCAATGCAACACTCTGGAGTCACAGCACTCCAGCACTGATTATGTGCGCTCCGGCAGTGGATCATGAGCTCTTGCACTATGTAACTGCGCTCTGGCATTGTAATCTGGAGTCACAGCGCTCCAGCATTGTGTATGTGCGCTCCGAGACTGCGATGGTTCGCTCCAGCAATGAGCTTCGAAAGTCCACAACAAATCTGGCCAAATAGATTTATGTGTACGGAAAGGGCATTTCTGTCTAACACTAAATAAACTTTTTCACTTGGGCCATATTTGCATAGAAAGTGTGCTTTTTGGAAAAAAAATGAAAGAAAAACTAAAGTTGGGGGTAAGTTGCATAGAAGTGTTGTCTTGGAGGTTTTATGTAATTTTCGCTTTTTTTTCTTTATCTCAAGTAAAGCATAATTCTAAAATTGAGGAAGAAATGGAAGTCAACCCTTCCACACCCTAGGGTTAATTAACTGGGATCTGGGTTCAAGTTCAACTTCGGACACAGCATGCAGGGTCCAGGTCTAGATGCATGGAACCGAGAGTGCGCCCGACCCAACCCGCTATCTTCTGTATACAAATATGCATATTATGTCATAAAAGCATATAATATACATTTAAAAATTTTGTATTTTTTAACCTTGACCATGTACGACCTGTTAGACTAGGCCTAGATTGACCTGGATCCGACCGAGTCCGGTCAAATTTTTTAGTAGTAGGGAGCCCCTTGTAGTGTGCACATACTCAGTTTTCACTTGAGGGAGCAAATAAACTTTTAGCTTAATTGTATTTAGGAAAGGAAAAACGGTGTGGTTTCTATAAGGTTCCAACCTTAAAGAGTCCAAAGTCCAAATAAGGCGCACCTCCAAATTTTGTCATAATATGTAATGTTGATGTAAAAAAGTATTAAGATTATCTCAAAATCTATTTTTATATCTAATTACAAAATTTTAAACTCCAAATATGGTTATAATCAACTAGATCTATGAACATATGAAAATCTTGAAAATGAATGGTCTAGATATTACGTTGCAAGATGCACTCTTTTTTAGACTCAAAATATTTTTTTTTTAAATATTCATACATCTTGATGTTGAGATGATCAAATAGAGGATTTTTCAAGATTAAAACAACATTTTTTAATGAATTTTTTAAGTGCATCTGTAATTCTACATCCTAAAGTTGCAACCTTATATAAACTTTTTCCAAAGAAAAAATATAAAAATAATTATCAATTAAGGGGTTATAAAATCAAGGGTTAAAATATTCTAATTATCATTGGAGGGTGTATCTACTCAAAAAATATATAAAATATATATAAAACTATCCCTTTTCAGACTTGAGAACTCTGAATAAATAAAAGAAAAAGTTTATATAAAGTTACAACTTTAAAATGTAGAATAACAGATGCACCTCAAAAATATATCGGAAATGTTGTTTTAATGTTGAAAAAACCTTCTAATCGATCATCTCGACATTGCAATGTATAAATATGAAAAAAAAAAAAAATAGTTTGAGTCTCGAAAATAGTGCATCTTGCAACACAATATCTAAACCGTCTGTTTTCAATATTTTCATATATTTGTAGATCAACTTGATTTTAACCATTTTTAAAATTTAAAATTTTCTAATTAGGTATGAAAATAGATTTTAAAATACCTCCAAGAATTTTTTATAACAAAATTGATAAAATTTTAAGGTGCGCCTCGTTTAAGGTTGCATCCTCATAAAAACCGCACCCATAAATAAAACATCTCAATGATTTGACCACCACTGAAAACGCATCGGTCCCCCTCATTAATATCTTTTGACCCCATGATGATTTTGGAAGGGGATTTTTATGATTTTATCCCAAAAGACTTCAAAGGGCTTGTAACAAAGCTTGCCCATATTTTTAAAGAAAATACACATGAGCCCTAATCAAAAATTTAAAGAATTCCAGGTCCAAGTCGGTAATACCCTTTCTCTAGTCAACCTCAACTGTAGGGAAAATCCACAGTGGCCCATGGGTAGCATACTGTACCGAAGCAGCTCACTGGGGGTGCATACCATAGCTTTGTTCTCTAGGGAGCATTACTGTCCCTAGTGCTTTCCACAATGCGCACATGGTGATATATCCCTTGCAATAATGCTAGGAGGCACAAAGAAAAGCAGTTCCATGGAGTTCTTGTTTCAATTCCTTAAAAAAAAGGAGATGCAGCCCAAAACATTTTGATAAGGATTTCATCCTCCATTGCAAAGGAGCTCAATATTCAAGAATATGTCGACAGGGCTCACTTTAACCTTTTTCCCTATATCCCTGGTCTTGAATAAGTGGTCACGTTTCTTCCTTGTACTAATGTAGTAAAAGATTAAGACTTCATTTGTGTACCTCTCTGTAAAGGCAATAATGGGTCACCATGTCTAATACTCCATTATAGATTGAACAAGGCCCTCAACAATCTACCAACCAGAATGAAAATGCATGCCTTTTAATTCCTTGCCATGTATGTTGATCCTTAATGGTGGAACCCAACCCATGAAAAGACCCTCCAAAATGATTCCTACCTTAACATTTATACACAACTCCATAAAAAAATTTGTTTCATGCGGGCTGGACCGCATTTCTACAATATACGGTCCCAAGGTATAAAGCATCCATCTTAAAAATTGGGTCCAAAAATCCATTTCAAAAATAGATTTTTAAGATTCAACTCATTTCTACATGGACTCATAGAAACCATGTCCTTTTCATAAAGACTGATGCCCACAATGATTCTTCTTCATCACATTGCCTAGTCAAAGAAGAGTAGGGCTTAACCAATAGTCATTTGTGTTCGAGAAGAGGCACCTTTTCTGATGACTTGACATGAATGAAGTTGCAGAGGTTGATGGGATGAAAGAAAAAGGTTTACGGTTAGCACTGAAAAATGGAAGTAATTATCGACTTTCCAATGGCGGCTTTCTTAAGTCTTGAAAATTCTATGGCGGCTTCCTTAAGTCTTGAAAGTTTTTCATAGAATGAATTGTATCCGGCACGAATCATACATCAGAAGTACAATTACAAGGTTATGTACTTCTGTAGTGATATTTCAAAAAGAAATGTTAAGGAATATCCAGATTTCAGGATATTAAAACACTAATAATTCTTTTTAGATATTGATGTACTTAGAAATAAAAAAAGGTGAAATTTTTTGTGACATTAATTATTTATCCAGTGATATTCCAAAAATAAATGTTAAGGAATATCTAGATTTCTAGATATTTTAACATGCGTATCGTGTGTCAAAAGCAAAAACCATAGAGATACATGTCCATGTTACATCAGCTACACATTTAACTCTTGTCACGAAAAGGAATCTCACTGTGTATAAGAACTGTTGTCACGATAAGTAATCTACTATGCGTATAAGGTTACAGAGTAACTCATGATTGTAAATGGTGTTATAGGTTGAATATGAGATTATATACCTATTTATTTTTTATACAAGAAAGTCACCACATTTTTTAACCATTGGATGTGAAATCTAACATAATAAAATGTATAACAACTTTCAAAAAAACAATTTTCAGACTTTTGTGCTCAATTAGTGACACATCACAACCCATTCAATTCCACATTCCACGTTTGCCAATGATTATGACCTTGTATAAAATATAAATGGTCTCATCATATTATTCCCAATGAATATACTGTTAATAATAATAACAATAATAATAATAATATGCATATACGGCTTGTAAAGGGTGGATATGCGATGACAATGTCATCTGATCTCACATTTAATACCCATAACAATTTCGTGTACTATGATTACAAGCAACTGCAAATTTCTCACTTTAATAAATGAATGAAAAAGGAAAACATCTGAAGTAGGAGCAGTGTCAACAAATAATCAAATGAAAAAGGAAAACATCTGAAATAAGTCTTAACAATGACATCTTCAATCACATAATCATTTTATTTCCTCACTACTCAAAAGCTTCAGCAACAAAAATACTAGCAACCACCAATTACTAAGGAAAAAAGGAAAAAACTCTGTACCAACCACCAATTATTAAGGAAAAAAGGAAACAATATGTACCATTAACCTTCAAGTAAAAATAAAAAATAAAAATCTATACCATTAATATTCTTCCATTTCATTCCACATGGTCCTTCAAAACAATGAGGAATTTGTAGAAGAGATTCTCTCCAACCAATTCTCTACATGCACTCCACCAACCATAACATCAAATGAATTCAGCCTCTTTTAACACTTTTCCACTCAATAATATAACATCACCTTAACTCTCCAAAAAAAAGGAGAATCAAAGGATCCAAAGCCCAATTCTTAGGCTCAGTTTACAATGTTTGGTGTCGCCTTTTAGGAGGGAAAAGGTCGTTTAAGAATCTATGAATCATCTCAAAGCTCGTGAATGTAATTACAGCAGCTGGAGTTGTTCTGAGGAGGTTGGTTGCACAGCCTCGATAGAATCCTGAAATGCCATCTTTCATGAACACCTTTCTTACACAGTCTACAACACCATTGTAACGTTTCTCGGAGTTGCATGCATGCCCCTGCTCCTGAAGCCTTGATCGCACAACCTGTGAATAAAACCACATGATGTCTGAGAAATAAAAGTAGAGGAACCATGTAGTGGCAAATCTTGTTTCGAGGATTTATCAATGAGGTCATTTCTTGAGAGATTTCAATGGTTTTCATTTGGAAATCCTTCGATAATGGTTTCGGAAAAATATCAACACTATAAATTAAAAGTATAGAGAGAGAGGTAATTTTTGGTGAATTAAAAGCGAAAAATGTTTTTCTATTTATGTTTATGTAAACTTAGACATCTCTCATAATATGGCAACTCGACATTTTGAAAATTATAGTTATAGAGCTGCTGTCAATTTATATTCATATTTTAACAAGAGTAACTTTAAAAAGTATCTCCAAGAAAAGATCCAAGAAAAAGGACAAACTCCCAGAAAATATTTCTGCCCCTGAAAATATATCATTAGATATTCATTCATGCATTGGCAATTATGGGAGAAAAGAGAAATTGGAGAAAAGAAACCAAGTATAACACAGCAGAGACCAAAAGTCATAATTGAACCAGGACACAGGCCAAAATGAAAGGAAAGCATGTACGGACCTTTAAGAATTAATATTTGAATATAGTAGCTTCACAAAGATAATTTCACCATGTAAAGGCACAACATGGCCTATTCAACATAAACAAATACCTCATGAGGATAGGTCAATGTTGATGCAGCTATTTTTGAGACCGAGGAAGCAAGGGCAACATCGGCTGCACTGAGAGCATCTGGGGTGGTGTTACCTGAAAAAGTAGGAGGCAATCAACAGCAAGGAAGAAGCACAATTACCAACGGCTGCTGGTGTAGGGTAGAGATTAACCATACTAGGGTGAATTTCCATCATCCTGACATACAAATAATCTCCACTGTCCACCATCGCGAAGAGACGGTGGACGTCCTTGAGTAGCATAAACCACTGGTGTATGCTACTTTCCCTAGAAGAGATGGGCAAAACATGAGTACCTTCTCTTGCCAAGTAATCTTTGATCTTCTCATATGTTGGGAACTGAATGGCAACATGGCTTATACCAGCCAATGCTGGAAGGAGGCCACTGATCATCACACGAAATACAGAACCATGGATTAGATATAGGCAGAGCACGATCAATGAAAGAATATGTAGCATGACTTTTGGATAAAAAATTTCATCAACTAGCAACTTTATCAATAATTATCTGGGATGTGTTTAGTACACATACCTATATAATCCACGAATACCTTCTTCATGGGCTATTCTCCGCAAAGCAGATAAAGTACTTCGATATGGCATCACTCCCGCCCTCATTCCTTGAGTCTGGAAAATATAAGCACGCACTCTAACTAAATATATATTCTCCGCAATACCTTACTTAATGATGAATCTTACTCACAAAAATTATTTGCTTTTTATCACAAGTTATCTTCCCCATACATTACAACCATAACCATAAAATAATATGCAGAAACTACTGATAGCTATAACAATGACCAAGACAAGTTAAGCCTGCAAATTCAGTTGAGAAGAGGAAAAGATACAAAAGGAAACCAGGCCAAACAATTGAAAAAGAAAAACCTATTGCTCATTTTTCTCTCAACGCTCCATTCACATCAACTAAACTCATAAAAGGCTAACATCTTTTAGGAAGTCCACTCCAAATTTAAGACAAGAAGCATGGTTCACGGTCATGAATTCATCTAAACCTAGATAGTATGGTTTGCATACAAGGGGAGCCACACTAATGTCCAAGGATTGAGTAGTCGCATACCCTTACCAGAAAAAATAAAGGTACATAACGTTAGCACAAATCAGAGGTAGAGAAAGATGTTTTGTTGGTGTGCAGTCAAGGACTTCCCAAAAGTAAGTTACACGTCGCAGGCAAACTCGTCGTATTAAATTCAGTCAAATGAACCGCAGGTCAAACCTGAAAATCCAAAGCCACTATAATACCTAAGGCTGTAGAGGTGAACATTTTCAGATGCCCTCATGGATTTTTATGGTGAGGAGGCCCGGATTAAAGGTTTTGGGATCTAATTTAGTCAAGTTGACTCGACGAATCCACTCAAAGAAGCTGTACAACTACAATTAACAGGAACCTTAGCTAATGAAAATTTTCAAATATCTTCATACATCAAAAAAGTGCCCTCCAGAATCACAAAACATAATAAATGATTTAGAAAAATGGAAAAGTATCCTGTCCACAGTGGATGGCTGCACAATAGTTGAGATCTCATTTGAACATATCCAACGGCCAAAAAGTAGTCTCGTTTTTTATTTTTTATTTTTTATTTAAAAAATATACTTATCTGAATTTTGGAGTGTAAGTGTATTTTTATGAATATAACTAAATAAAAATTACTAAAAAAAATATTTTCAAAATACCTCTAAAATTATTTTTATCAATATTTTTATTCCCAATTCTTTTTTATTAATTTGATTCATTTAACTTATAAAAATCAACTAAAACCAAAATTTGAAATTAATATCATTTTTAAATAAAAATTAAAAATAAAAAACGAGATTCATTATTGGCCCTTGGATGAGCATGAACCATTAAAAGGTGCATGTGCACCTTTTAAGCATCCACATTCCACATGCTGTAGACGCAATACCAACCCGAGAAAAGTAGCTATACAAAAGCAAAACTATACAAATGAAACAAATATATATATATATATATAAACTTCTCAGTAAGAAATAGCTATGTTCATTAACTAAAAATACATCTAGAAGATGAAATAAAAGGAGGCGTACTTGAAATCTGGTCTTAACAACCCATAGGGGATTGGTAACAATCGTTGTTGCAGCCCCTGCAGCAGATGCGGCTATCATATTGGCACCAATTGAGAGTTGATTATTGTCATCTGATCAAAACCAGTAAACGACAATTAGCATGTACAAACTACACAAGGATGAATTCCCCTAATGATAGTCATAAAAGACAAAAAAATTCATCAAAGCGTCGATCGTTCTGGTTTTTGAAACAATAATTTGATTGGAGGCCAAGCAAATAAGTCATTTGAAACCAACCAGGTGAATGAAGCAAGCTTTTGAATTGCTCATACATAGTAAAGTAAACCTGCAAAAAGAAAAGAAAGTATTTCAAAACTTGTAAGGGTATATGAAAGCAGTATTCCTCATAAGAGCCACTATGCCAATGACATTTTAAGCAAGCACCACAGGTTACAGGAGATACTTCAGTTTGGACCATATGAAGTGGCATCTGCAGCTTTCTTTTATTCATAAATTTCAAATAAGAAAGGAAAAAATATGAGACTTACTGCCCAATTTGGAAGTAGTGCCAACACTGTTGGTGCAAGGCCACGATACATTCCACGTACACCCTCCTTTCTCGCTATTTGTTCCAAACTCCCAAGAATAAGGCTACCTGATACGAGTGACCAGGCAAATAAATTAAGGGCCAACATTATGCAGAAAGGATAAAAACTGTCATCCATATAATGATGACATTAGCCTGCTAATTCTAGCATTCTGAACGATAATCTCTTCTAAAGGGTAGGTCACTTTGACCATTAAGATTAGCAAAGTATCCCAATGGGTAAATTGCATTGATAACGAGTCATATCTACAAGTCCTAACAAAAGAATTTGCATTAGTGACAGAAGATACGCACATCATATACCCATTGAAAGAAAAAAAGCTGTCCTCTAAGATGATTTCAAAGATTAATGCCAAATGTAGCTTCCAGTTCCATCAGGTAATTTACTTTGACTAATAGCTCCTAATCTAGAGAAAAAATCAAATTGATGCCAAAAACGTAGATTTTCCAGTCCAATGATGGCCTGTGGCAAAAGGAGTATAGGATTAATACATAAGCCTTTTTGATTCTCAAACTTGTTTTGTGATTGAAAGAAATTGAATAATGGTTCTCCATGCAAGTCAAAACTAATGCTTTTTGTGAGAGCCTACACCAAGTTTAAAAGCCTCTGAACCTTCTTCATAAAAAGTTTGGCTGTAGCCTAAATTCTCAATTTTACAGTTGTATAAACATTCAAATACTTTAGCCAGCTCTCTCAATCCATAAATGCATGTTTTGGATCGTTATCCATAACCATTTTACATAAGATGATCTCAGTTCCATCAGTCCTAAGCACATCCTAATTGTGTGTTAATATTATCAGACATGATCTAATTCTGATGTACATATTCAATTTTTTTTACAAGACTATATTAGAAGTTGTCAGCGCTAACTAGTGTGCGAATAATTAGTGGAGAGACGATCCAGTAAAAATAGGTCTACTTCAGAGGTCAGCGTTAAGCCCATACCTCTTCGTCTTAGTTATGGATAACTTAAATAGGCTGTGGTGTGTGTTGTTCAAGGACGACATAGTTTTGATTTATGAGACCCAAAGCGAAGTCAAGACAAAGTTAGAACTTTCAAAGTATGCTTTAGAAATCTAAAGGTTTTAAAATTAGCTGGACTAAGATAGAGCATATGGAATGGAAGTGTAGTAATAATAAGAGTATAAGAGGAAGTAGTTAAGATTGACGGCCAAGAAATACCAAAAAAAATGTACTTTCAATATCTTGGGTCGATAATCCAAGAAAATGGAGCGATTGAAGAAGATGTTGCACATAGAACTAGAGTTCGTTAGGCAAAGTAGAGATGTGCAACCGGAATTTTATGTGATCGCCGCATATACCAATGCAGCTGAAGAGAAAGTTCTATAAAACAGCTGTGAGACCAACTTTGCTTTATGGGAGGAATGTTGGACGGTCAAGAAACAATATACCCATAGGATGAGTGTAGTTGAGATGAGGATGTTGAGATGGATGAGTGGCAAGACAAGAAGGGCCAGAATTCGAAATGAATACATTGGGGAGAAATTAGGTGTGACTCCAATAGCTGATAAGATGAGAGGAAGTAGACTTAAGTGGACTGGCCATGTGCAGCACAGACCCAGTACGGCACCTGTTAGTAGGTGCAAGTTGGCTCAAGTAGAAGGCTCAAAAAGGGTAAAGGGTGGGCCCCAAAGGACATGGTATGAAGTAGTGAGAAAAGAAATAAGGACTTATGTCCTCACTGAGGGTATGGCTCTTGATATAGTAGAATGGTGGACAAGGATTCGTGTACCCAACCCCAAATATTTAGGAAAAAGCTATTATGCTGATGATATTACAAGTTGTCAAAGCAAAACAACCCCAGTTAATACCTAAGGATTCACCAATTCAGCCAATTTGATGTAAACGACCAAAAAGATAGACAATAAACTGAACAAAGTACAGAGTATAGACAATTTGTTTGTTCCAGTCAGGTAACTTAAACTTCAAGCCATGACATTTCCATTTTGAGCTGTGAGCACTAAGTCATGGCTCTTCGTCAAATAGATATTTATGACAAGTTTCGAGTTCTAGAAAAGTTTCAGCTGTTTACCAAGATCTAAGTCTTGTTTTTAAATCAGAACAAGCAGTTTAAGGTTGTTTAAAGGTCATCAATGCGTCTAGACTCTATGAACATATCGCACAACTACATATCAAACATGAGGCATTACCTTAGCATTGTTAGGCATTCGTATTATGCTAGCCAGTGGAATGTTCAAGTGGAGAAGTCCCCATGCACTAGTTAGAGACATATAGTGACTGCATAGATTACAGATAGACACGCACAACCATTTTCACATAGCATATTCTAAAATACAACCAGATAATCAATTCAGTGCTAAAAGCTTTTCAATATTCACTACCAAGTGAAATCACAAGACAATAAAATTATTGGCCAGGCGCCATGGCTTAATGGTATTCAGCACTTCATAACAACAATTGTATATCCAAATTAAGTTTCATAGCTTAAAACACAAATAAAGAAAAGTCCCAACTTTATAATAAAGACCATTTACTCTTCTTTTCATTTGATAAACGTTTAACAGGGATATTTCATAATCATCCTTCAACAATACCAAACAATACTGATAAGCTTTCATCCAAATTCATTGATTTATTTTCTCAGATAAACAATTTATTTCCATAAATAATATACTTGATCCCTTGCCTAGAAAAGGATCAATACTGACATGAATGACTGTCCTAGCAGTACTGTGGATAATGTGGTTAAAGAGGAACAGGGGATGCTTCAAAAATAAAAGCAAGAGGGACAGTGCAAAAGGAAACCTCAGGACATTAATTATTTCCTGGGCAAGAGATAGAAAAGAGTTCATGGGCCATTCTCTGGAAGATTTAAAAAACCAATAACTTATATGGAATGATCTGCACCTCTGCTCGTACAATTAAGCCATATTTTTATAGAAGTGGCAAGGGCAGCAAACAACTCACTGGTGTTGGAGTTATTATGGACTGACCAGGCTGATTATTAAGAACTTACTCAGGTCTAATCAATAATAATCCGAATGAATAAGAGGCATGGGCTCTGCAGCTGGGTCTTCGGAATTTGGAACTCACATGAAATGAACCAGAGAGACTCCAGCAATGTGGCCTGATGGAGTGAATCAAAAAATGCCCATGGTTTTTACATAATGCATTTTAAGAAAAATAGTACAGGTTTACTCCATTTAAAACATCCTCCAACATATAGTTGAGAGGTTAATCAAGAAGTGGATGTTTGAGCAAAGAAAGGGGCGACCAAAAACGAGCTGACAGTTACGTGTATAGCTGTCGAGTGTCATGCACATAGACTAAGTTTGGTTATTCTCGCGTCGTCACTCCTCTAAATCAATTTTGTAGAAATCCAGCAAAATTTTGTAAATCGCTTTACATAATGAAAGAAATTTAGCTACTTATAGAACAAAAGAGTACTTTGAACTGTACAAGTGAAAAAGTTACAGAGTATCAAATCACAAAACACACAAAGATGCTTACCTTCACTCGTACCATTCAGCTCAGGCAGATCATGGACTTCATATCTCGTTTTGATTACATCCAAGGGGGAAAATGTTTTCAATACTTCTCTCTTTTTAATATATATATATATATATATATATATATATATATATATATATATAGTAAGTAAGTACTACTACTACCAACGAATAAGTACGTACGTACGTATAACTAAAAATAAAAATAAATAATAGTAAGTAACGTACCTTA